TAAAATAGAATATTGTTTGAAGAACGCATTAGTCGCTTAAAAAATGATTCATAATTCAATATGCGATTGTCTTTCGTACAAGTTGTTATGGTACCTTTGCTTCGGCCTGTAATTTTCTTAACTCGAACAGGAGGAGTTCCGCACTCGATGCGGAATCCCCCAGCTGGTCGCAGCTGCTGGACAACGCAGCGATTCTATCGTTCAAGATCTCCTCGAGATCGCGTAGATCGGTCGCTAACAGAGCCAAAGCCAGGCACTGCTCCAATTGTGTCTTCCTACTACGAAACGACGCCTCGATTAATCGCCTCCTGTCGTGTAGTTCCTCCAGCCACTTCTCAACCCTCAAAACGGCTAGAAAATCAAACCAAATACTCGAAATATAAAAAATACTTATTACATTATAAAAATTATATTGTACACTCCATTTTGCACTTTAGACATTTCATAGATTTTAAAAAATTGTAATTATTGCAGTGCTGAGATAGGATTGAGAGAAACATTAATTGCAGTCAGCCGCTCACCGTGATCAGCTTCCAGTTTGATTCTCTCCGGCCTGGAATCCAAGGTGCCTTCGTTCGCGATCTCCTTCAGCCGGTCCAACAAATTCTTTCCCTCCTGCAACGCGCCCATCAACGCTTCGAGCATGTTCTTACGAAGATCGTGGATTTTCGACAGGAAGTTCTTAACTGCATCGATCTCAATTGGCAGCAACGTGTCGTTGCAAGCCATCTCGAGAGCCCTCATGCGTTCTCGACACTCCTCCGCTCGACTATACATTTTTTCAATCAGAATTTCATAATTCATTCCTCGACACTTTAATTAAAAATGTTATAATAATTGATTGTCTGACTCTTGAATTTAAAATGTTGTAATGACTGTTTACTTCATTTCTTTAATTTCAAATGTCTATCGCAATTTTTTTAATAGCCACTCTGATTTTTTTTATAAAGATACAATGGTACGTTCATCGAATATAAAAGTAGAAGTGTGAACGTCTATGAAAGATTGAACTACGAACCATTGAAACAGCACGTTGCTGTCGAGGATTTGTTTACGGCGTTCCAAAAGCTCGTTCACGTCGCGCCAAGCCTGGCCCAGCGTTTCCGCCATCGCTGCGTACACTTCCGCCCTTGGCCTTTGGTTCGAAATCAACTGATCAGCCTGTCGGAGCAATTCCTCCACCGGGCTTTGTTTGCTCTTGCATTAAACATTACCAAGAACATGGTTATTCATACCCGATACTTACAACATTTTTCTTTAATCATTAATAGATTCCCTTTCTAATCAATATGAGGAGATCCGCTTACCTGCAATCGAAGCAGAACTTCGTCGTGTGCGTTTGAGAACTCGGTAGCCTCCTTGACCGTAGCACCGAGCTTCGTTAATTCCGGTTGGACCTCCAGCACCTTCAATCTCAGCCATTCCCCGCTCTAGAAAACGAACAACGGAACGGAATGTTCGTTAACGGGTTTCGTTAATGAAAACAGCGTATGATATCTACGGGCAATAATATTTCTTACCAATCTGCCGTAGATAGCCGCTTAAAAGGCAACGATCATAGCTAAGTATACGCAATAGTAAACGAGCCGCGATTACCATTTTAGGAAATCTCATACGAGATCATCTGGAAACGGACTAGTCGTCCGATCAGAAAACGAGGTCGAACATTTTTATTCAGTTCTAGTTTAAGACCACTTTCGAAACTCGTGAGAACCGGCGGAAAAAGAAATTCTCTTGTATAC